AAAAAAAAAAAAAAAAAAGAAGCTGGACTCGGTGGCTCCTGGCAGCCTGGGAGGCTGAGGCAGGTGAATTGCTTGAGCTCAGGAGTTCGAGACCAGCCTAGACAAGAGCAAGAAACCATCTCAACTAAAAATAGGAAAAAAAAACAAAAACAAAAAACCAGCAGGGCATAGTGGTATATGTATGGTAGTCCCAGCTACCTGGGAGGCTGAAGCAAGAGGATCACTTAAGCCCAAGAGTCTGAGGTTGCTGTGAGCTATGATGACACCATTGCACTCTACCCAGGGTGACAGAGTGAGACTATCTCAAAAAAACAAACAAAAAAAACAATAAAGCAAACAAGGAGAATAAAGCGTCTTCACTCAGGAGCAGCTTTAAAACCATTAGTCACTTGTCTTGGATCATTTGTGAGGGGGAGGGGGAATTTGCCCAGAACTACTTGGAACCCACTATAGCATCATGAGGTCATTTGGGCCAATCTCCACTCTACCTCCACCCTGGAGCAAGAATTGCCTTTCCCTTTCCCTGCAAAGGAGGCCCTTTCCCCGCCTCAGTGTGACATCCCAAAGAGGGGGGTCCCCCTCCACTCTAACAGGCAGGTAGGTGGTGCAGGGGTGGGTAGCTCAGCCCTTCCTGAGCCCAGGGCTGCCTCTCTGCAGTCCCATACACAGGCCTTAGGTTCTGTCCTCCAGTGCAACATCAGCCTCTGAGCCTTCTATTTTTTTTCCTGTTTTAATTTAGTGAGATTCTGTTAGCCTTAGTAGAATATCATGGCATCACAGCTGACAGCAACCTCAAACTCCTGGGCTCAAGCGATTATCATGCCTCAGCCTCCCTAGTAGCTGGGACTACAGGCACCCGCCACAACACCCAGCTATTTTTTTGTTTAGCAGGCCCAGGCTGGGTTTGAACCCATCAGCCCCGGAGCATGTGGCCAGTGCCCTAACCACTGAGCTACGGGTGCCTCTGAACCTTCTAAATGAAAAACTTCTGATACCTCCAAATGGCATCCATGCCACCCTGGTCTTCTCCCCACAGAAGTCCTCAATGCCTGCTCCACAACAAAACAGGATTTGAACTATATCACTGCTGTTTACTAACCAGGTCCCCCTTCCTAAGTGCCCTTGAAAATACATTCATTGGCTTGGCGCCTGTAGCTCAGCAGCACTGGGGCTGGCAGGATCGAACCCAGCCTGGGCTTGCCAAACAATGACAACAACAACAAATAGCCGGGCGTTGTGGTGGGCGCCTATAGTTCCAGCTACTTAGGAGGTTGAAGCAAGAGAATCACTTAAGCCCAAGAGTTGGAGGTTGCTGTCAGCTGTGATGCCATGGCACTCTACCAAAGGCAACATAATGAGACTCTGTTCCAAAAAAAAAAAAAAAAGAAAAGAAAATATGATCATTGCCCAGGTGTGTAATAACCCAATAAGAGAGAGCTATAAACTCAAAGCTTGGACTGCTCCGAACAATTTCTACCCCCAAATAAGGGGGAAATCAGTTTCCAAATGGCATTTAGACACCAAGGTGTCAGGAGGTGGCAGCAGTTTTTAAAAGAATTCTCAGAAGTAAAATGCTTCCTTGATGTGGGCAAGGAAGAGCCCTGCTCCTCAGCCTGGCTCTGCAGAGGACTGTTATATACCCCCAGAGCCAAAGAGGGTGAGCAGGGCATAGTGCTGTGTGGGCAACTCAGGGTGTGGGCTCAGAGGGCTGCTGAGGAGACACACAGCACTCCCACTGCCCTTCAGCCTCCTGAGCCCAACTCCACACCCACAAGGTGATAGAAGGAACCTTTCTGTGTAGGGAAGTGTGTGGACCAAGACAGACATGTCTTAAAGCATCCAGCTCTGTGCCTGAGGCACCAGTGACCTCCATCACCCACATACACTCCCAACTCTCCATTGTCGGAAGCAAAAGCAAGGACAAGGAAAGGAAAATGGGGCAGGATAAGTATCCCAACCCTGTCCCCCGGAGGTGGGCCTAGCCCCAAAACAGGCCTGCATGTCCAACCCGCTGGCAGCATAGCGCACTTTGCCCTGCTGGCCATGGCGGGGAGATGCATGTTTTTGTTGGCATCCAGTATGGCTTTCGTACCTTGAATACATTCTCACTGTTGATGAAGCCAAATCCTGAGAAAGTGGACTGCAAGTTGTTCAATGCCTGATGAGCAACAGCAACATGTCAAGGGTGATTTTTAAAGCCTTCTCCGCCTCTCATCCCAGAGTCCCGGCAAGACAGTCTACAGTGTCCAGAGGGTGCTGGGTCCAGGACCTCCCAACTCTGGTTTTACTCTGTGCAGTAGTCACTTCCCTCCTCCCTCATGTAAGGGGTGAGGCAGGCCCAGGAGGTCCCACCTGATGGCAGTGACCCACCTACCTGCCGCATGTCTCCCTGGGCTGTGAAGATGATGGCTTCCAGACCATCATCAGTGTATGGCACCTTCTCCTTCTCGATCACGTTCAGCAGCCGTGCCAGTATCTGGGCATCAGTCAGCTTGGTATAGCGGAGGACGGCGCACCGGGACTGGATGGGCTCTGAAGGAGATGGGAAGACAATGAGGCTAGCAGCACCCAGTAAACACTGTTTCACTAGAATGCAGCTGCATAACCCCTATCACTTCCCAGCCAACAGGGGCTCAAGAAAGACTTGGTTAGAAAAGGGCTAGAAGTCAAAGTATAAACCAATACAGAGGCCTTAGCTGGCATAGCACAGAATAACCTAGCCAGCCATGGATTCCAGAAAGGGAACTGATCCTCTGGGACAGACGTGTCCATCTGTGTTACAAGCCCACAGATGAGTCAGCCTTGGCCCAGGAGGACTCTGGAATCACAATGCTTACTAACAACAAGGTTTAAGTGATTGGTGAATGGAGAACAAATTAATGAACAAATAAAGAGCTATCTGGGGAAGGTCAAAGAACATAAAGGATTCCTGGGCTCGGCGCCTGTGGCTCAACTGGCTAAGGCGCCAGCCACATACACCTAAGGTGGCGGGTTCGAATCCCCAGCCCG